CTGCCTTTAATTTAACCCTCCTTTCAATTTTTTGCTTATGGTGTACTTTCTCATTTAGCATCTTCTGCTAGCTCAATAGACAATTGTATCCACTCAAATACATGGATAACTATATCCCAAATGTCTCAATATTTTGAAATTTCTATGGAAAGTCACATATATGCACATGAATTTGCACTGACATAGTTCATCCACAATCTGATGGTGGACATGGAGGAACAGAAGATCTCACCAGAAGCTGAACATATGAATTCCACATGCATCGTGTACAGCATAATGTGCAAATATGTGCCCCTTCCAGTATTGTTGCAGTATAACATTCCTATACTGACATTTACAATTCCAGTCATCTAAAGCCAGCATAGTTGTAGGTGAAGGACAATGGGAGTTGCTGTCCAACAACATCTGGAGGGCTTACATGTTCCCCATCCTTGCTCTATAGGTATGTCTAATTTAGGAGATCCATTGTAGCAGTGTGTAGATTCCTATATCTTTCAAGCGGCCTAATCTTTATTCTTTCACTGAAGCTCTGTGGTCTAGCCAGTGGGGTCAGCGAATTAGTACGGCAACTGTGTCTAATCTGGTTGCTCAGTTTCTCCCAACCAGGGAGTTCCAGGGAGCCCAAAAATTCTGGAGGCCAAGTGAAAAAATGACCAAAGGTTGGGAAGATTAGTTTGCCAGAAATACAGTTTGGAAGAAATACATGACATAAATAAAGGAAAATAAATGTTTTAGAGGCAGCTAGGGAAAAAAAAGTCACCAAAGGAGACAAAGAAAAGGAACACAATGGAAGGAAAGGGAAGGAGAAAGAGGAAAGGGAGAGAGAAACAGAATTTCATGCAATGGATTGTGGCGGCCCAGCCATCTGTTGGAGCCCATCCGGGTCACTCTGGACTCTGTTACATTAAAAAACAGGAACTCTGCTGGCACCTAGCTGGACACACACAGAGCCAGACTAACTGACAGCCAGACGCAGAGGGGTTTGTCTGGGAAGCCAGGACACTCGGGGAAGGTACCATGCCAGTGACTATTTACAAAGAGAGAGACAACGAAGAGAGGTACAACCCTGCCCTTGCCCTGCTCCTTGCTGACTCAGCCAGTCTCCTCATTCCAGGACTCTGGGGTGGCACTGGGAGCGGTGACGTTTTCCCCATTGCACGTCGCTGGGGCCGCTGACGTCGTTGCCGGAGTTTCCGCTGTGCTGGCGGTAGCCGGCGGTGTTGTTTCTTCCGGGCTGGCTGCTGCAGGAGGTGGCGCGGCCGTGGCGGCGGTTGTTCCCGGGGCTGCTTCCGTCGCTGCTGGAACGATGCCGTCTGCTTCCGCTTTAGCTTGTGGGGCACCAGGGGTCTCTGTCGGGGCAGCACCCTCTGTCGTGGTGGCCGCGGGAGTGCTGGGCTTTGCTGCATTTGTGTGATCGGGGGCACGGAGTCTCTTCATCATCGTGGTCACTCGGACAGCCTTCTGCATGTTGGTGAAAGGAAAGTGGCAGCTACTTGGTAGGAGAGCGGTTTAAAGTCCTCTCAACCTTTTGTTATAAGGACAAAGCTTAAGAATGATACTTCCTTTGCACCCCTCCCTGCCCGCCTTTATAACTTGCTACTGTCATTTCAAAAACCATATACATTTTTAAGCTTAAAAATACTGGAATAACCTAGGAGTGTTTGCTTTGGAGGTTCTCTGCTTGATTTCAAAGTATGCTTTTCAGTGCCTGTGGCTGCAGGCAAACATCTAAGATGAAGATGCTGCCTATAATGGATCCCGAAGGCTAAGGCATCAAATAAGAAATAAGTAGGCTTGCAAAATGCCTTGTGACTTGCATTTCATCCCACGAGGATTAATTCTATTGTATGAATGAAATCTGATGTTTGTTATGAAAGCTTATCAGTTTTTTTAAACCTGCAGTTTAAGGCTATCAACCAACTCAAGATTTTTTGTAGTCAGTTTACAAGTTAGCTGTTTATTTTACATATCTTTGCATTTCAGCCTTTCGGTAAAGGTGCCATTCTGAATAACCCAGAAAGAAACAATTTTGATTAAGGGTTAGATACACTTAATTAGGATTTTAATCAAAGCTGACACTCATGACTGATACAGTGGCTGAAATTGTGTTGTATAAGTTACACTGCATAGGGCTGATGACCTCAACCATGGTAATTTTTCAGCAAAAAAACATTTATAATTTCTTCCCTGATATTCTGCCTTCAGAGGCTCCCACAGAACTCCTATTATAGCCTTTGTGGCTATGGGATATAAGCAGGTCTTTAATTAACAAATATTGCTGCCACTAGTAAAGTTATCCTGGCAGAGGCAATATTCCATAATTAAAGACTCCCGCTGTCCTGTGGCCAATGGCTTCCTAATGATGAAAGAGATTCCATGGGAACTTTGGCAGCTTTGAGGGAGAAATTGGAAATGTTTTATTCCTTAAAAAAATCACTGTGGCTATGGATGTCATAAGCCTTACATGGTGTAACATATGGCGACAGGATTTCATCCAATAAATCCCTTTGAGTTGTATGGGCTTCTCTCTCATGTAAATGTATACCGGATTGCAGCCAAAACATACAACATTAACATTTTCTGAAATATTATTGTCTTCCAAATATTTGAGTGAAAGATTTTTAAGGATCTAAAAAGAATTTAGAATTTCCTAAAGCATTTGTGAAACAACCAAATATTTCAGAAAATTCTATCCAGTATCTATAAAATTGGGTATCTTCTGAACCTTATTTTAGGGAAGGGCATCTATTCTAACGAATAAATTACTTTTAACTCTGTTACTCTTTTTCATAGTATGACTTCCTGAAAATCTTAAAATCTAGTAAAACAAATCTGTTTATCTAAAGGAAAGGGTACCTTATAATATATTTTTATTTAGCAATTACCACCTGGAATGTATTTACAACTTATTTGCTTAAATCAGGTGGGAATCATGGAAAGCCATTTTTATTGGCCTGGAGTCCTTCCAGCTGCCCTGAAATGACAGGAATTAAACCAACATCCTTTGATGTAGACAGATTCTGAAAGGCAGTGGCAATGTGTAGGATGTGTCTTCTCCAGTTTTGAGGCTATCTGAGACCTACTCAAATGCATGAGAAAATGCTTGTCAGTACCACCTTACCTTCCATTTTGCCCTGGCAAAGTTCTTCTCAATCTGAGCACATACACCATCCTTTATGTTCTTGTCTGAAGCTGCATTGCCAGAAATCCTGGAGACAGAAAATATGATAAGACTGCCACTCAGCAATAACTTTTAATTCATCTAACTTTCTTGCCTTGGTCATTGGAGTCTAAAGAGGAATACTGTGTGCAGCAATGACTGCGGTGCTCCTTCATCAACTCACACCAATCCATGTTTTGAATACTATAAACTGGAATATCTTATTAGACATCCTTTCATCAGCTTCACTCCATTTATTTATTTCATTGATTTTGCCCAAGAAACAGGAGACTCAAGGCAGATAACAATATAATTGCGGAAATCCTGTTGCCTAGCATTGTAAGTTGCAACTGGAGTAGGCCCATTGAGTCAGGTCCTCCTTAAGTTCGATTGATTAAATCGGCCTAATCTAGCCCTGACTTACTTCGCTACACAACAGGATTCCAGTCACTGAACTAAAAGAAGCATCAACAAAACATATAGGAAATTTATTAAAAGAAACAAAAATAAAATATATCTATGATGGCCGTAACAACCATACCCAACCAGTTAAAAATATCTTTTACAGCACACAGCCTTCTTGCCAAAGAACTTGAATAAACAGATATTTGTACGTGAGCAAAGACAACAAAGGGGCCACCTTGGTTGCCTTGGAGAAGGAAATTTTGTAGTCTGGGGGTAGCCACAAATAAAACATTTATTTTATACCTAGGATGTTCTCTGCCTTTTCCCTGACATTGAAAGGCCATATTATATGACAGAACAATGCCTGGGAAAGTTAGTTTTCTGGATTACAACTCTCAAAAATCCATTAGCCAGGATGATGAATTCCAACACTAGCCAGACGTTGTTGGCCTGCCCCCAAAGTGGCTTTCATACTCTGGGCAAAACTCATCTTCCCTTTCTCTTCTGAAGACTGTCTCCCAATCCACTCTCTAAACGCTGGGAGGAGTGAGGAAGCAGACAGGCACCCTTTTCACTGGCCAACAGTTAACTGAAAGTTCACATTTTGCACTTTCCCTGCCTCCCACGTGGTTTTTTTTCAGTTCTTAACTCAAATCTAAGTATGTAAGTCAAGTCAATATTTTCCTATGAGAGTGGTTCTTAAGTCAAAATGTTCTTAACTCAAGCCGTTCTTAAGTCAAGACCCCACTGTATGCTCCCACTTTCCGAGGGGCAGCTTTGGAGCACTTACCACTCATGGGAAATAGCCTCTTCCGCTGTAATCCTCTGCTCCTGGTCCACCTCCATCAGGCGAGCCACCAGGTCCTTGGCTAATGAGACAAAAACACAAAGACTACTTGACAATGTCCCAGGAAGGGATAAGGGTTAGAGTGGATGGTGCTATGGCTCTGCTGTGTGGACAGGAGGACAAGATGACAGGGCAATGTAATTGTGGTAGCCTGGGATCAGACAAAGGAGATACTGCAGAGGGGGCCATGTATAACTGTCTTCCAACTCTTTGTCTTGAAATGAAACATACCCTTTGGAATCTGCAATTCTGACTGAAAGAATGTCAGGGAAAGGGGCTACTTAACTCCCCCCCCCAATGGTTCCTCCCACCCATTCAAAAGGGGGCAAATGCGAACAAGGAGCATATTTCCACCAATGAATTAAAAGCATTTTATCTTTTCTCCAATGGTGGAAAAAAACATTTGTGGAGTGCACCATTTGGAATGATAGAAAATTCGGCCAGTTGCGAAAGGGTTCATGTCTCGCTCACCATTATTCTTCCAATTCAATTGGAAGTTGCCTGCGATGACTTTTAAAAAACCAGGGGAGTGTTACACGCACTGTGTTATAGCCACAATGGCTCTCAGTGAGGCGCAGGTCCTAGGGAGTGTAACGGGTAAGGCAATGGCCCTACATTGTCACCAGCTGTTGAGCATGTTGTATCCATGACCACTGTGGCCTGGGGAACGGGACTGAAGAAGAACTGACAACTGCAGGACAACTGATACGTGGGACTCCTGTCAGCTGGATACGGCAAACACCAATGGAGAATTCAAGAGAAAATTGGACAAACATCTGTCAGATCTGCTTGATTTGGATCCCTGCATTGAGCGGGGGGTTGCATTCAACGGCCTTACAGGCCCCTTCCAACTCTGTTATGCTATGATTCTATGCTTTGCCCTTCAATAAGCTACATAGCACTCCACTCCTGCCACTCTACTTTCCATGAAGCCTCACCTGCCTGGGAGATATCATCCCAATAGGGAGGATCGAACTCGTAGTCACCGGCCAAAATCTTACGGAAGAGGTTCTTGTCATGATTCTCATAGTCATCTTCATCCATTTCCTCGTAGAAGGGTGGGTTCCCAGACAAGCTGTAGTAGAGAGATAGAAGGGGAACATCAGCTACAGGAAGGAGATTAAAGGTAAAAAAAAAGGGCAGACTTGTGGTTTCGTTACTTTATGAACCCTCTTAATCATGTGTCATCCTCTCCCTTTGGCAGTTCCATAGTCTTATGCTCGTCCTTTTACAATGGGGACCAGCAACCTGGAGCTCCCAGGATGTCGTCTGGATTGCAAGTCCCAGCATCAGTCACCACTGGCTATGGTGGTTAGGGCTGATGGGGAATTGCAATTCCACAATTTCTAGAAGGTCACAGGTTGTCCGTGACTGTTCTGTAACTATTTTCAAGTTCTTTTTCTCCAGGGCATCATTCTCCCCATCTCTGCTGTCTTTCATTTTTCATAGCCGTCATCCCTTCCAACCCCGTCAACATCAGGCTAAGCAGCCCAACATCTTCTCCGTCCTTACTTACAGAATATACATGATCACACCAATAGCCCAGCAGTCAACAGGCCGGCCATATCGCTGGCGTCCTACCACCTCGGGAGCTGCAGGGAAAGAAGCAGAGTGAGTTCTTTTCCAAAGTCATGCCTTTGCTTCCCTAAGCATATCATCACCATCTCTGAGGGACTTGTGGTTTCCAAAACTTTGTTTCAGTCAGAGGTAAACATAACATTTAGAAATATTGCATGGTGCAGCCATATAAGGACTATGCCAATTTAGGATGTAGGCATCAGAATTTACTGTTTATTTCTATTAAATGTCCTTGAAAATAGAGAACCATCATGTTTAGAAAAGGACTAGATAATAATTTATGTCCCTGGCATACTAATTTTCTGTAGAAGCAAGAAGCAAGCAGGCAGATGGTTGATTGTACGAGATGCCAGGGAATGAGAACAGGAGAAGAAAATTGCCCTCATGTCCTGTTTGTGGGGCTTCTCAAGAATATATAGGTGGCCCCTGTGATGCTGGACCAGATAGGCCTTCAGCCTGATTCAACAGGGGTCTTCTTCTGTTTGTCACTTTGTTAACATCTATAGATAAAAGTTTTGTCCTCCTCACCTTCCCAGTGCATCTTTTCGTTATAATCACCTTGATCAGGGCTGGGCTGGCTATTAGGCAAGTGAGGCAGCTACCTCAGTGGCAGATGCTTGCGGGGGGTGGGGGGCAGGGAGCGGGGCCACAGCATAGGCTTCCTTGGTGTTCTTGTGAATTGTACCATCTCTTACCCAGATATTCAGGGGTCCCACAGGGTTCCTTGATGAGCCCATTTTCCAGCTTGGCCAGATGAAAATCACTGATCACAATCTTGGAGTTCTTCAGCCGATTGTAATACACTAAATTCTCTAGCTGCAGGAACATGGTAGGGAAGAGATGGATGAAAGAAAGAAAAAAAACGAGAACACCCCTAATTCCTTTGGTAAAAGGGCTGGAAAGGGCCATAGTTTCCCACTACCCACAGAGGCGTGGCATGCTTCTGAGAGGACCAAGACTCATCATATATGACATGAGTGACTCCCTCCTTCCTTCTCCCTCTTTCTCCATTTTATATAGAAAGGATGCAACCTTCTGACTAATCTGTAGGAAGCAATGAGAAAGAGAGTGGCAGAAAAGTGTTGAGTTTGCTATGTTTGTTTTTAAAATAACAGCAGGAACAAATGAGGGTGGGATGGGTAGGAAGTGACGGAAGCAGGCTTGTGGAACATTGATGAACTTGCCTTAAGGTTCCTATGCACAATCTTGAGGGAATGCAGGTAAGCAACAGCCTCCAGCACCTGCCTGATCACATTACTGGTGTCCCGCTCAGAGTAGTAACCCTGATCCAAGATCCAATCAAATACTTCTCGGCCAGTGGCACTGCAGATGAGAGAAGGGACAAAGGGCAATAAGGAATGAGGAGGGCATACTATTGCTCACAGCACCGTCATGCAACAGAAGCACTGGCATGCTCAGACAGCAGAAAAGTATTTTTGTTTCATACTGTTGAGATCACTGCCAAGGCAACAGGAATCCTTAGGCAGAGTGAGTTTAAATTAAGGAGGTGAACTGTTTTAGGTTATGGCTGTACAGGCCATATATTTCACCCAATGCCCCTCTTTAGATATTCTGTGACCTTCCTGTGTGGAGGAAGATGTGGTCCCATTGCCAGTGTTGAGGCAAGGTTCAGCCTGCTTAGTTTTTATATGTGGGATCGCAGGCAAGAGACGTCATGCCGTCTTCACAATCAGTTTTGAAATGGCCCCGCATGGTTTGCAGTAAACTTTTACTGAGTTAGACCATTAGTCCATCTAGGCCAGTGATGGCGAACCTATGGCATGTGTGCCACAGCTGGCACGCAGAGCCCTTTCTGAGGGGCACGTGAGCCGTAAGTTGCCGGATCACTACTCCCCCCCTTGCAGGCAAACCTCAGGAGGCAGCTGCAGCCGCAGTGCTGGCCCTTCAACAGGCGGCAGGATCTGGAGCAGCTGGCACTGGTGGCAGATCTGGAGTGGGGTCTCGAGGCACCTCCATGCCCGAGTTTCCTCCTTCCGCTGCCACTTCCAGTTCCTCCGCCACCCACTGTTTTTTGTTTCTTTCAGTTTGGGCACTCGGGTCCAAAATGGTTTGCCGCCACTGATCTAGGCCGTTATTATCTACCAATGGGTCATCTTCACAGGTTCTAGGTGCCATTTTTTGTCCTCCACTGGACCTGAGGACAGCTGTTCCACTCCAACAAGTCTCCACCTCCCCTCCCCACCCCCGGTGCTGAAAAAGATCAGTTATGAAAATAGCCACGTTGGCCATTTCCCAAAGGTGCCTCTCCATTGGCTTCTCAGTTTGCTTCATTGTGGGTGTCTGGATACATGGGGTGTCTGCAGGCCACATTTTGCCTTCTCCTGACCTATGCTAACTGGTGGCACACCTTGGGAATTTTGGAGAAGAATCTTTCCTGGTCCTACCAAGATTTGCTGGAGACTGAACTTGAGGAAAACCAGGAGCTCTACCACTGACCAATAGTTCTCCCCTCAAATGAACTACTTGTTTATGGATCATGTGGAGACAATGCAAAAAGAAACCTCTATGCTCTTTCTGTCCTGATGGTTCATGAAAATCAAAGGTGCTTCTCCTAAGTGTTTAGGAAAGCATGCTGTGAGGTGGCAAAAGAGATGGTTTACAGCCAAGCATGCTTATCCACATGGAAGAACCATCATCTGTGTGATATCTTGGGATGTCTGGAGACAATATACTTACAGCTCCAGGAAAAGGAAGTACTCTTTCCGGGTAACATACACATCCACCAGCTGGAGAATGTTGGGGTGTTTCACCCTGCAGGTAAAGGAAAGGAAGAGACAAAATAGAGGCCGGGAGATGTATAATGGCTTATCCTGTCTGCTGTTTTCTTTCAGACCAGATCCTGTAGCAGGACCCATGGGCCCCTGTCCTGACATTGCTGGACTGCATCTCCCATGATTTTGAGGCCACCTAGCAAACAGAGAAGCAGGATCAGAATTGCCGTCCAATAAAATGTTGAGGGCCACGAAGTTCTCATCCCTTCCATAAAGTATTTTTGCCCAAACTTTTTCTGAAAACTGCCAAGGGCGGTGCTGTGACTGTGGGTTTTCCATTCTTTTACTGCTTCTATAGGTTAAGTCATTCCTAAGGTAAATCTACCTCCTGATCATCCCTCATGAGGTGTAACTAAAGCTGGTGCTCTGAGTGCATGCAAAGGGCAGTGCCGAGCCCCAGTCTAGCTAGCCATCGCGTCCGCCACACATTTAGCACTAAATCTTAAGAAGAGAGCTTGTTGTGTAGTCTCTACATGTTAACAAGAACAATAGTCCTGGAAAAATTTGGGATTTTGTTTGTGCGTAGAGCGTATGCGTGAGCAGGGACATTTCCTCTTTAGACTGAGCTCTAAAAGCCTGAAGAACACAACAACGAGGAATGGAGGTGGGTGGCAGGACAAGGCACTCTCCTGTAATTGGAGTTCACAATACTGGCTTTAGTCATGTTTCAAGAGAGCAGTCCATATTCTATCCTCCCTTGATAGATAGAACAAATGGCCTTCTCTGGAAACTGCTGCCTAGCTGGCAAACATTCAGTCCCCTCTTGGGACTCAGCATGCCAAGTTCCTTCAGTGCTTCTACACAGGACTAGCTTTCATAATCTCACAGCTCTTTTAAAAATCCTTTTTAACTTGTCAACATCCTGCGTGAAATGTAGCACTGATAACACAACAGTCCTGGGTGATGTTTTCCCAAGGCAAATCAGAGCATAGCAAAACTCTGAATCAACCCCATTTAACACACAGTACCCTGCCTGAAACTTCATTTCCCTAAGGTTTCAGGAAGGAGATCTTCCCTCATTTGCTTGACCTTAGTAGTACCAGCAAGAAGCATCCTGCCATAAAGCAGCACCGCTAAAAAAAAAATCAGTAACACAGAGTCCTAGAGTATTCCCATACCTGTGAGTCTTCTGTAATTTTTATGTCTAAGGAGAAAAATGCTCATATAAAAATAAAATTCTCTTCTGGACAAATACACACAAATCAGTGCTGTGTGATCTGAACAGAGGGGATGTTTTATTCCACACTGGTGGCGTGAGGTATGCCCCTTTTCTGGCCATGGGCTAGAAAATGGGAGTGTGGCTCAGGTAGAGACTCTCCATATGCAGAGGAGACTCGACCTATCACATTTCAGGTAAGCCAAGGGATGAAGTGAAGGACCAACCTGCCTATTTCCTTATGTTAACCTTTATTCGCAAACTCTGCCTCAAATCCTCTACCATGAACAATGCACAAAACCACAGAATGATGTTTGGTCTGCTTCACTTCAGGGCTATGGATGTGTTGCTCATGTTAGCCATCAGTATGAATGAGCAACGTTCCAATCAGCACAGAGGAGAAATCTAGCTTTTTATGTGTTTGTCCATTTCATTTCTAGGCCACGTTTCTTCTGGTGAGTTTTCAGTGGTAGCCTGTTCTTATTCTCCAGATGTTCTTTCTAAGGGCCAAATTAGATATGATATTATTCATGGCTTTCGTCCTGGAGACTCATGTTTTTCATGGCAGTGCACAGGGCTGATGACCAGACCAAGGAGCTTCAATTCCAGAACCTACCTGTAGACGCAGTACTGAGCCTTCTATGCCCAGCTACCCACAGTGAGAAGGGAAACCTCACTTGTATTGATGGAAACTTTCCTCCCACTGCAAATAAGAGTTGTAGAGGAGCCTAGTACCAACTGGGACTGCTGGTGAAGTACAATGGGTTAAAGCAGGGTGGAGACTCTTTGGATCTTCAGATATAGTTCCATTTATATCAGAGCTCCCATTCTGCCTCACAACCAGTGCAGCTAATTGAGGATTACAGGAACTGGAGGCAAACATTTAGAGGGCCACAGATTTCCCATCCCTTAAGTCTCCTCCTGCTCCATTGTCCCATCATTCTGATCTGCCTTGCCTCTACAGCTATTCACTGAAAAAAAGCAATGTGTAACTCAGCATTTACTTGCCAACCAAATTGTCATGGGCAAATTGGTGACTGTAGCCAAATAATTGATGAGAGTGTTGCGCCTGTATTCCATGCAGGAAAGTAATTAATCAGAACTCTCTGAAGTGTTGGCAATTTAATGCTATCAAAGCAGAAATCAAATGTACCACACATCAAAGAAACCAGTCGTACCAATTTTCTCTTCTCTGGTATTCAAAGTGCCCGGAAGGGGCTGCATGGGATGTATCCCTAGTCCTGAAACACAACATGTCACCAAGAAAAAGTTGTATCCAAGGTGATGTTTCCACATATCATGTCGGTGCCTCACAACTGGTTTGGCACCTGGCAAGCCAGAAATCACCCGGTGTAATGTGTTTTTCAGAGAGAACAGCTCCCTCTTTCTGTGTTATTTTGTCTCTGTTCATCAGTACTCCTTTTACTTCATTTTTGTTTGCTGTTGGTTACTTTGGACCCTCTAACGTTGTACTGCACCAATGAGAACAGGCAGCAGGTCAAGAAGCTAGGATTGGGCTGGCAATGAGAACAGGCAGCAGGTCAAGAAGCAGAGGCTAGGATTGGGCTGGGCTGGGCTGGGCTGGGCAGGGCAGCCTCTAGGCCACCAGATGTTATTGGATTGTGCTGCCCATCAGTCCTAGTCAGCCTCTTGAGCGGTGAAGGATAATACGAGTCGCAATTCTAGCAACCTTTTCGGGTCCCCTTGTTCCCCACCCCAGGCCAAGGGATTGTTATTTGCAGACATTCAAAACTCACATCTTCAGGATGATGATCTCATTCTTGGCTGCCTTCCGCACTTTGCGGCCATCTCTTTTCAGAAACTTCTTGCATGTATAGAGCTTCCCTGTCGATTTCTCCTTGGCACGGAATATCTCACAGAACTCCTCTCTAGGAAAAGAACAGCCACCATCAACTGGAAGCAGATCGCATCCCATGGCTAAAGCAGCCCAGCCCCATAATACAGACCCAAAGAGAGTCAACTCACTCTCCAAAAAGAGGTGCAAACATCCATTTATATCAGAGAGGAAGAAACTCTGGACCTCTGATATTTCTGGATGAGTATCCCATAATTTCTTATCCCTGACCATGTTGGCTGTTGGCTGTTGAAGTCCACCAGTAATAGGAAATGATGGCAACTGTGGTCTAGCAACATCTGGAGAACCGATGGTTCCCTACTCCTGATTTGTATCATAAATTCCTTCTCTGCAGATTCTTGTTAAGTTTAAGCACAGTGGGAATAAGAGGGGGAACTTGCTTGAATCAGGCTTTTGCTAGTACATGAGAAACTGCTAGGTTGGTTAAAGTGTTACCACTTCTTTCCGTTGTTTTCTTCAGTGATTTTTAGAGGGGGAAACTTCCCATCTCCTTGCTATTGCCTTGTTATATGTCCCTCTGTGGAGTGTGGAGAAATTCAATAAATGAAGCCCTTACGTGCATGTAATTTACACCCTACCACATGTACGAAAGAAGATTGAGCAAATGGCCCAGATAAACACTATTGAAGTAGCCCACTTCTGGTCAAAAATAATCTAATTATCTTAGCATTTTAACTTGTTTTTAATTTTACCAATATTTAATATAGACCCCTAATTTTAAATTGTGTGGAGAAATTCAATAAATGAAGCCCTTACGTGCATGTAATTTACACCCTACCACATGTACGAAAGAAGATTGAGCAAATGGCCCAGATAAACACTATTGAAGTAGCCCACTTCTGGTCAAAAATAACCTAATTATCTTAGCATTTTAACTTGTTTTTAATTTTACCAATATTTCATATAGACCCCTAATTTTAAATTGCACAATGCTTTGATGTGAATAAAAAAGAAAGATTAGTTCAGTTCCCCCCCTCACAAGTTTTGATGGATGTGTGCAGATTAGAACCCTGGTCTCTGAAGCCCATTACTCTATGCACTACACCAGTGATCCCCAACCTTGGGTCTCCAGATGTTCTTGGACTTCAACTCCCAGAAATCCTGACTGGCAGAGGTGGTGGCGAATGTTTCTGGGAGTTGTAGTCCAAGAACATCTGGAGACCCAAGGTTGGGGACCACTGTGCTACACTATACTGGGTATCCTTGCCATATCTGGGTATTAGGGTTTCCCTATACCTCCCATGTTGATCGTTACACTACATTCTACATTAAATCACAATTAATAAATTTATAGGTCATGATTGAAATCGTAGCCCTCCAGATGTTGCTACACCACAGTTCCCATGTTCCCTGAATCTTGGCCATGCAGGCTTGGACTGGGTTGGAGTTTAAAAACAGGTGATAAGCCACAGGTTTCCCAACCCTACTGTAAGCAGACTTTTCCTTTTCCCTGTCACAAAATGTAAGGAAAGAGGAGGGACTAGCAAAACACTTACGTTTTGATGACCTGTCCCAGATCATATCTGTCAGTCACCTCAGATGGCTGGTTATAGTCCTTCTTGTCTCCCAGGGTAACACATCCAAACGGCATTGCCAATCTTGTTTCTGACAAATACAAGCATAACAAGATTGAAATTAAGATTCCTGAGATCCAGAAATTTTCTGAACCTAATGGCATCTTGATTAGGTATCTAGGAAGGTCCACTCAAAACTGTACCACTGAGCAGGGCATTGTTTTTCTGGGGTGCAGCAAAAGGGGCAATCGCTCACTCCCAAACTGGTAGTATTCCTTACTCAAGGGGAAGGAAGAAATTCCAAGTTGTTCCAAGTTGGGGCAGGGGGGACACAAAGGTCCACTTATGACAAGCCTGGGGGGTAGGGGTGGGGAAGCTGAGAGGAAAAAATGACTCTGACACAAGGGAGCAAATGGGGAGGGGCTGAAATGAATACTGTGCTCTGGGCCCATTAGAAGGCCTAGAGGAGGGTGAAGGAAGGCAAGGACAGACGGGCACAACATCGTCACAAATCAAGAGTTTCAGCATTCTTTGTGAATGTTCTGATATTCAGACTGGAAGATCTGTTACAGAGAGAATATCAGAACATTAACGATATATTAGATTACAACAGCTTGACAAATCTGGACTGGATGAGCATTGTTTCAGACATGGTCATCAGCCCCAATGGAATAGAGTACAAATATTGGCATGAACCAGACAATTTTGGGATAGAATTATTATTCAGGCTCTCTTGATAAAACCTGAGCCACATTCCATCAACAGAGATAGTGGTGTTACTTTCAGTGCTTGCTGGAAGCTTTTGTTTTGTAAACTGGATAGACTTTGCAGGTTGCCCTTATACTGTGTAATGCTGGCCAATGGAGGGGACTGACTCTTTAATGTTAATGTCTCGCGGGTTTGGTCTGAATGTTGACCCAGCTGGTTTTGATTGTATCTGGAGGATGTGTGGCACTGCGGGTTAAACCACAGAAGCCTCTGTGCTGCAAAGTTGGAAGACCAGCAGTCCTAAGATCGAATCCACACGATGAAGTGAGCTCATGTCGCTTGTCCCAGCTCCTGCCAACCTAGCAGTTTGAAAGCATGTAAAAAATGCAAGTAGATAAATAGGTACCACCTTGATGGGAAGGTAACGGCGTTCTGTGTCTAGTCGCACGGGCCAGGTGACCATGGAAACTGTCTACGGGCAAACGCTGGCTCTATGCCTTGGAAACGGGGATGAGCACCGCCCCCTAGAGTTGGGCACGACTGGACTAAATGTCAAGGGGAACCTTTAACTTTACGTTTACCTTGTTTGAGTTAACATCTTGCCTTCCCTGATGAAGATTGTGCAGGATATTGACACTGAAAGTTTGGACTATTTTAACAATAAACACGATTGGAAACCTGTGAGCTGTTTACACAAAGTGTTTGTCGTGAAAGACTGAGATCTCTAATAAAACGGTTTGTCATGAAAGACTGAGATCTCTAATTAAACGAGCTTATTTCTCATGTAAGAAGCCATACAAACTAAGTATTCATTGAGTCTAATAATATTTGCACGTTCAATTAGGAGACACATATGTAAATATGGTGAAACTCTGTTAGTGGCTGTTTTAGCCCACTATCTGTATACATACATATTTGTGCATATCACAGTTCCCCAGTCAAGTCCCCTTCCTCAAAGTCACTCAGCTACACTCTTGCTTATTCTGGGGTGAGAGTGCCCAGGGGGAGTCAGATGTGGCAAAATCTGTGGATGCCTGACTGGAGCTAACACACATAAAAAGAGGGGGATGGAGTTTCATTGCGGCGAGGACAAGTCGGGTTTCAGGCAAGCTTCTGAAACTAACTGGGATCCCTTGGTTCTGCCCCTACAAATGGGGGGGGGGAGAACAATCCACTAGGAAAAGCAGCATCTGAAGCAGCACAGATGACAAAAGAGGGGAATGGGATCGGCGAAGGCCGGTTCCCCCTCCAAATTCGCATCTGATCAGGTGCACAAACCGAGGAGGAAGCCATCTTGGCAAACAGCTGGGAACACCCCAAACAGAGAGTGAGAGAGTGCAAAAGAATGTTGGACATATCTCAGCCAGAGACTCTGAGTAAGTTAAAATATTTGTGCCTGTAAGGAAAATCTCCATGGACCCAAATAACTACGCAAAAATGAGATAGATATAAAGAGTCGGCAAATGGACGTTACCTTTTAAAAAATCTTACTGTCACGATAGAAGTGAGCCCCTCCCCCCACAGCTCGGACTGGGAGAAGAAGAGGAGACAAAAGAAAAAGGGAGAAGTGGGAAAAAATTACCTTGTCATGAAAGGAGATAAATCTAAGATAAAAGCCTCGCTCCCATGACTTTCTAAAACATTATTATCAAATCCTATTTACTTCAAAGCATTGCAGAGCCCTTAAATTTTTATTGCTGTGACTAGGTGACTGTGACAACTTTCTACTTGGAGTGGAAGCTCCACCCCCTCTTGGATTGGACATGTAAATAAGACTGAGAAAAGAAAGTAAGGTTACACCAACATCTGCTGACGGAAGACTCAAATAACACTCCTTAAAGAAAAAGAAAGAAAATAGCAGCTGACAGAACAGCCAAATAGCATACCTTATTTATTTAAATAAAGAAGAAGCGGGAGAGGGAAATCAATATGGTGACTAAAGATGGAAAAGGTGGAAAAGAAAGAACTCAGAGAGGTTCACCGGAACAGGAACAGAATCTCAGTGGATATAGGGACCTCATTTAAAGACTGGCAGCAGAATATTCAAGAGATGCTATCAACAGGTTTACAGCAATTACAAGGAGGGATGGCTCAGCGATGTGTACAAATGAAAGATTTAGGGATGCAAATGACTGATATTAAAAATCAAATTACGGAAAATAAAAAACAAATAGAATAGATGAGACATCAAAAAGAACAGGAGGAAGACTGAAGATTTTGAATACAGAGTTGGGAGAGCTAAAAAGGGAAAGCAAGCAAGATGAAATCACTCTGTTAAATTTGCAAATGGAAATAGCCAATGCCATACTTAGATTCCAGAATCTACCAGAACAAAAAGAAGATACAGTGCAAATTCTTACTACTTATCTAGCATCTCTCATGGAGATGTGACCAGAGGATGTTCAACAAAATATAGATACAGTTTTAAGAATTAATACAGCATCCACCAGGAATAAAAATATCCCCAGAGAAATTCATGTTAAATTTACGAGAAAGATCTTTTGAGATAAAGTCCTAAGAAATAGACAAGACAAGGGACTTTATAGAAAAGATAAAGAAATTAAGATATTGAAACATATTTGGTGGCAAATAAGGCAGAAAAGAAAATATGTGGAGCTGATATCCTTCTTGAGAACAAACTCAATTATGTATAAGTGGTTGCTGCCTGAAGGTGTCCTCTTTGAATTCCAGGAACAGAGGTATTATATTAATTCAACAATGAAGGCAGAAGCCTTTATGAAAACAAAGAAGAAATGGCTTGGCAGAAAAGGAGGAAAAAACCAGATGAGAAATGAGAAGAAGAGAAATCAAGTGGACTATTAGGATCTGAAGCAGAAAGAAACTCGATTAGAGAAGAAGAGCAACCAAAAACCTTCAAAGGAAAGCACACTATAGAAACAAGAAGATCCAGGAGGAAGAAAGAAAATCACAACAATAAAGATGGACTAAATGAATAAAACAAGAAAGTGAAAAATCAAGTGGCTAAGGACTGGAGGATAAAACTGGTATTAAATGGTAGAAGAATATTGTCCAAAAATCAGTAACTACTAAAGAAAATATAGATAAGATGCTTTATAGATGATATATGAGTTACTGATGGTATACAATGTCAACAACGATTTTTTAAAAAAAGTTATAAAATGCTTTAAAATTGTATGGGAAATATAAAAAAAACACTTTTATTATGCTTGATGGATATATAGGGAAATACTGTAGGTGTATGAAAGGGACGTGGTGGCACTGTGGGCTAAACTGTAGAAGCCTGTGCTGCAGGGTCAGAAGACCAGGAGTCATAAGATCGAATCCGCGCGACGGAGTGAGCTCCCGTCGCTTTGTCCCAGCTCCTCACCAACCTAGCAGTTCGAAAGCATGTAAATGCGAGTAGATAAATAGGTACCACCTTGGTGGGAAGGTAAAACAGCGCTCCCTAGTCATGCTGGCCATGTCGCAACCGAAACTGTCTTCAGACAAGCGCTGGCTCTACGGCTTGAAAAACAGGATACGCACCGCCCCCTAGAGTTGGACACGACTGGACTAAAAATGTCAAGGGGAACCTTTACCTTTACCTTCAACTTTTAAACTGTATTTGTTCTTTTTATTGAATAGTATACTTGAGATGTTAGTTAGAGCAATGAAATGTTTGATACTGTATGTAATCTCTACAGTTAAATTATGAGATGGAAAATAATAGAAGAAAACAGATATCCTAGAATCAGAAGAGCTGACAAAAAAGACATGGGAAGTCACGGAGTTGGAGGAAATAGAAGTAATATTTCCATAATTAGACTTGAATAATAGCTTGGGAAGCATAGATTAAAGAAGAATGTGAAGGTCCAATTAGGGAATAGACAGATTAGTAACTATAGTAATACTGGGAAAATCTGCTGGTTTTTAAAAATATTTCTTTGTAGTATAAATGTACAAGCTGATGTAAATGTATGATCTCTGGAATTTTACCCTTTCTCTATCCATAACTACCCCCCACAACCTTAAATTCCCTTCCCCATATCCCTATCCCTATTGAAAAGAATAAAAAACTGAATATGAAAAATAACACACACACACACACACACACACACACAAAGAAATTCCCAAGGCTACGCCTTGAGAATGAGTGTGCCAACCTTTCAAGGTAGCTGCCACCACTCCCACGCACAAACACTATAAAATATCCCAGTCATTGGTTGAGGCAAGGACTTGCTTTTAGTAGTGTTAACCCTCTGAGTCAGAAATCCAGATAGCTGCTTGAAAGGATTTTTGTATTTTATTTAAAAAGAAAAAAGAAAGAAAGAACATTCAACAGGACAAAAGGAATAAAAGTTCCAAACAGTTACAAGATATGGTTCTTGTAGGGCCAAGGACTTTTGGAAAATGATTCATGAAA